GTATAGGATTCAAATTGGCATTGTTTTGAGGACGGGAACTATTCATGTCCAGACTATTGGTGATTTAATACACCTACTAATCTGTACACAAGGCATTTGATTGGAGTAAGACTCAAGAAACAAGTATAGTCTTCTGTGCAATCTGGGAACTTCTCACATTTTGTTTTGAGTGGAAAGAACTAGAATCTAAATTTTCTACATCTTCAACATTGACGTGTAAAGATGTTATGCTGAATGTTCTCCGATTAATATGAACAATGTTTGGCTCCTTAGTCATTATCTTTAACTACAAATCACAATTTAACAGCAAGATTAATTATTAAAATTCCAAAAAAAAAAAAAAAAATTAAAATTCCATTACCATTGGTCCCTCAACTCATCAAAATGTGTAGCTATGGTCATCTTCGTTAACTTCGTCAGAATTTTGTCAAAATAAGTTATGTTAGAAGAACCATTGCTACAATTAGGGTCCATCAACTCATCAAAACGTGTAGGTATGGTATTTTTCATCAACTTCGTCAGAATTTTGTCAAAATGAGTTATGTTGGAATGACCATTGCTACCATTGGTTTAAAGTTTGAGGGACCATTGCTCCAATTGAGTTAAAGTTGAGGGACCACTTCTCCAGTTGAATTAAAGTTGAGGGACCAATGAAATGAATGTTTAGTTTAGGGACCATAGTTGCACGTTTTGATGAGTTGAGGGACCAATGATAATGAACTTTTAGTTGAGGGACCATTGCTCCAATTGTGTTAAAGTTAAGGGACCATTGCAAGAATTTACTCTAAAATTCTTTCTCCAGTATTTGATGCTACACAAAAACTGACCCAATACAAACTTTCTTCCTGTTGTAAATGTGTATTGCTGCATATAATGATCCATCTATGAAAGATCTCATATGAATGACACCAAGGCTCATGTTGGAGACACCATAAGACACAAAGCACATGTGGAAGACACTAAAGCACATGTGGAATACACCAAAGCATGCATGAGTGTGGATGCTTCACACCATTTCTATATAAATAAGTGTGGAGAGCTCAATTCTGTAAACCCACCCCCATTAATAGTGAGCTACTTTAGTAAGATTATACACTAAAATGAGAGTTATTTCTGTATTTCTATTATTTCAGATAAGAGAGAGATAACTATTGTTGCCCCTGAGACCGTAAGCATATTTGTCGAACTTCATAAATATTGTGTTTTATTTACTTTACATTCTATTGCACACATACCATTGATGTCACACCACTTCCTTAGGCCCAGCCCAGGTCTAATGCGGGTAGGGCAACCGTCTGGGGCCCAAAAAAATTGGGGGCATCAAAATAATTGGGGTGATATATTTATATATATTTTTATAAGAGTATAAATTTATAAAATTTGGTTTAGTGACAAAGAAATTTAACTAGAATTGGTGGTTTTGTTGTTTAAAATGAATGAAGAGGCCTTAGGTTCAAAACACCATGTGTGCTTATTTACATTCCAATTTTTACAAATTTCTTTTCATAACAGTATAAATTTATAAAATTTGGCTAAATGATCAAGAAGTTTAATTAGAAGCAATGATTTTTGTTGTTTAAAATTAATGAGAGGTCCTAAGTTCGAAATGTTATGTGCATGTTTATTTTTTTCAATTTTTACAAATTTTTGTTTGGTTGTTAATTTATTTACTAGCTAGTAACTATGTGGGTTGCTATTTTTAAATATCTATTCCAATTCAAGTCTAATCTTCAGCAAAAAATAATGCGTAGACTAAATTTTTAGACCAAATTTGCAAATAATATTACGTGTCATCAAAAGGTTTAATTTAGTGTTCATTCATTACTTATACATATCCTTAAAGACTCAAAAACATTAATATTTTTTTAGTCTTATATTGACGAGGTTAGTAAATAAGAAAAAACAACTCACGATTTATACAAAAACACTTTAAAAGTTCAAATAGAAAACAAAACTCATATTCTATCTACTTGAAAGCCCGAAGTTTTTTAGTTTCCTTCTCTTGATACAAAATAAATTAATTATTTCGTATTTCTAAATTATTGAGTTTGAAGTGTTTTTCTAAATATAATTTTATCGATGTTTTACGTGTGAAAACAAATATTATTTTTTTTATATATGAAATGAGGGCACATTTTTTTACGTCGTCCCGGACCTCAAAAATCTCTGGACCAGACCTGCACTTCCTACACTAGATCTTTGAATATAAAGATATAATTGTAGGACATACTATTATCGCCGCTAGCCAGAACCCATTATGTAATTAAGCTCAAGTTGAATCAATTAAAATCTTTCACCTACTTAAATTCGCTACACACTTGCATCTTGGCATGAAATTAGGAAGCCAGAAAAAAAACAGAAAGAAAGATGAATGAGGAGGAGGAGAAGAAGAGGAAGATGGTGAAAAATCTCCTTCCCAACAAACAGATTGTGTTGAATCAGTCTGTGAACGGTAATTCTATCACCGTAGCTTGGTGGGTTTATTTCATCGCGCAGAGAATGTGTCTGCCTCATCATTATTTGATCAATTTTAAACCCAGCAATGGGACAATATGTATGGAATGAACCTCTTATAGTTATATATGCATGTATATATGTATATAAATAGGTAAAGTTCCAAACTTTTAACCCGCACACCGGTGCATTATATTTTTCATATATGTGTGTGTGTGTGTATTACATGAAAATAATGGGTTCTTAGGTCAAGAGGCTGGGACGTACCAAACAATCAAAATGTATGTCCTCAAGCGTTGGGTACTACATAACATGTCCTTAAAAGTATATGCGTATATGGTCTATAATAGGCTTGGACAATCCGACGCACCAAATAAAGTGAATTGAATTGAAATTTATTCGTAAATCCAATGTCTTTCGTTCGACTCGTCATTTCTCATTATTTCAACAAATCACATTGTCACATGCACATATACACTTTTCTTTTTGTGTATGCTTCTCATGAATTATTTTTGTATATATATGTTGAACTATGATTTGAGTAGTAATTTCTTACATGTAAAGAGTCAAGTTGTGTTATACCTTAAATTCAATGTTAGGATAAACAATAAGAACCGAATAAAAATTTAAAGCTTTATGATCAAGGCTTAAGGGTGTGTGATATCCATAAACATTAATTAATTGTTGGTATCCAAGTAAAGATCCCAAGACTATGCAAGCAAATTATCCATGTTAATATTTAAGGGGACGTTTGTTTACCCTCATTAAGTATGACTGGACTAGACTGAACTAGGTGTTAATGTAGTCCATGTTTGTTAGAGAAAGGGACTAGCTTTAGTAGGATTAAACCTCACTCGCCTCGACTACGGGGCTCGCTAGATAGTCTTAGCGAGACCCCCCAAATACCACCGGATTGCTAAGACCCTTCTTTTCTCTCGCATTGTCCCGCTCGGCTCCTCACCCTGCTTGACAACCTCGCCGGACCATCCCAGGACCACCGTCGAGTCCTCGTAAATCACGGCTTCCTCTGCCACTTTCTCTTCTTAGTTGCTCCGCGCGTCGTCTATCCCTACTTCGCCGCTCTCATTTACTTCTTCCTCAGTACCTCACACATAAAAAAACCCAAAACATCCAACCCCAGAATTTGAAACAAAAAACAGAAAAGAAAAAAAAAATTACAAAATCGTTGTGCCTCTAAAACCCAGTCGCTCCATCAGCTGCACATCAGTCATTCCAGCACCTCCAAAATCCAAATCGCGCCATGGGCTCTGTTGATTGTATGATTTGTTCATTTTGCTTGGCTGTGAGAGGATAAACTTTTGTCAACGGCGACTGGGATGAGCACCAATACTTTATGTACTAAGAGGGAGAAAGAGGAAGTGAAGCTGTGAGAGAAAGGGAAGAGGGGGAGGTGTCTCTACAAAGTTGTGAGAAAGAGAGGAAAGGGGTTTCCAAAAGGGTATCAGTTATCTTCCAGAAAGCAATGGCAGAAGCACGACTAAAAAAAATGTAGTGGCGGAAGATATTTTTATAATTTGAAAGTGAATTAAAAATAATAACAAAATATTGTGGATCTTAAAAATATTTTAGTTTGTAGTTTAGTCCGACACTGCACTAAACGCTTCACTAAGCTAGTCTAGCTTAGTCTAGTCTAAGTCAATCCAGCTTAGTCCTTACAGTTAGTCTAATTCGAGACAATTTGGTGCAACAAACGCACTCTAATTGCCCAAATCAGCAAATCAAAGACCAACTCATTTTCCATTTCCTTTTGCCTACTTTGAGCAGATCCAGTTACTCACGCGTTAGGAACAGCCCAATAGTAAGACAGAGAGATGGAAAGATTGATTTTGGGTGCCTAATATGAACCAACCTAGGTTCTCCTTTTGGAACAGTAAGGGTCCTACCTCTCCACTTCACTGACTTCTTGTCATAAACTAAAATTGTCTTGTGATTCATATAATAATATAATAATTAGTAATTACTATCTCATTTGTTGGCCGGCTTGAAGTCTGATCTGATCCGCCCACCAAACGAGGCCTAAAAATTAAAGCAGAGTTAAACCAACATTACAAGCATCAAGGTATAAATTGAATATACCAGTTTTCTAGCCACATCTCTTTTAATTAAGCTGTTGAGATCATTGGTTCGACACTGTGATTGCGTTGGTCAAACAATCTTTACATACAAAACTACTTAGGCACACGTTATGCCAGTAAGAACTTTGAAGGAATGCCTGGATAGACATACAATTGAAAACACACTATTCAATGTGAATTTCAGGTCCTTTTGGGATGGAAAATGTTTGTTGCAGCAGTTGAACTAATTTCGGTCCAACGTCACACACAGCACAGAAAGCTCGAACAGACATTGAAGCGTCCGTTGGACATGCCCTAAAGTTACAGAGACATCTTAATCTTTTGGAAAGAAATATCATCTCACCACTAAAATAGCATGGATAGCAGGGCCTTTGTAGGCACAAATTGGTGAAATACCGCTTTCATGAGTCTCGACATTGAAGAATTATCCCTAACGAAAGTATAACACGCTGAGCACAACTATTTCGACAATTCATGTTGATAATTACATGTCACTGTATGAAAGAAACAATCAAACGTGTAAAGACCATGTAAAGCAGCTTCTTGTATAACACACTACACTTATGAGAAACAATGTTAATATATTTGGTATGTGTAGAAGTAGGAATCACCTAATATAACCGTAAAAGCGAAATAATATTAGCACTTACAATATAGAAATTTTTACTTGGAAGATGCAGATCCAATCGAGTATAATCCCCAGAATTATCTATAGGTTCTCTCGTATAAGGTCTTGCGCCACCGCTAACACTGAGTTAGTATCTCAGCCCCATCCTCGGTTATTAAAATGGTATGTTCGAACTGCGCTGACAAGCTTCCATCTTCTGTGACTACCGTCCAGTTATCGTCCCACATTACAGCATTATAGCTACCCATTGTCAGCATCGGTTCTGCACACCAAGTACATGATAAATAAGCAAGGACTTTTTACAAATAGAGGTCTGTAATAAGAAATACGGTCGTATACAACAAAAAAAAAGCTAAGTTCGAATATGCATTACCTATTGTGAAGGTTTGGTTTAATAACATGCGTCCACTATCATTGTTCCCTGCAAGGAATAGCAAGCATCACTTCAACCGGAATGTTCAGCTGTTAGCAGATATTCTAGATGCACCCTGTGTGTGCAGTGCACATCCATGCATATTACTAGTGACAACATATTGCTGAATTTACGAAGGAGAGATTAATAAATTTATGTTACTAAATTTACGAACTTCACTTCCAGGTAAATCCAGGGGGTCATTTCATAGCCTAGTAGATATGTATATTGTAGATGATTCTATGACAGTACAGCTAAGTACTTCCAGGTCTAAGGGCACAGTAATAAAATTTCAGTTGCCAAAATAATTAGTCTAAATAATATTCCTCGACCGTAAGTTTTCAATAAATAATTTGCATGATTTGCTTAAATAGCAGCAGAAAGTTCAGAATGATTACTGAAGTGTAGAATAACTGGATCGGCATGAAAGACGCGTCCAACTCCATGACCAACGAACTGTCGAACAACACCATAGCGGTTTTTATCTGCATGGTCTCTAATTGAGGGAGAAAAATGGCGATTATTAGAAAAAAGTTAATTATCAATCCATATGTTACTCATGTATGCATGCATGTGACAGAGCCTCCAGACAAGAAGAAACATTTAAAATTTACTGCACCAATGCTACTGCTGAATCCTAAATATAAGAAACAGAGAACTACAGCATACGGGGAAGGGGGTGGGGAAGAAAATGCCTTACTGGATTGTTTTGCCAATTTTCTTATACTCCACTCCTGGCGCGCATATTGAGATTGCCTTGTCGAGACATTCTTTAGTTACCTAAAGCAATACTTCAAAATTAAATCTTGTAAGCATAGCTATAATACAAGAATATCTCCAGAAGTTTAAAAATTTATTCTTCACCCAAAGTCATACAATTGACAATTTGCCTGAAGAGGTTCTTATACAAGATGTCCCACTACAGATCTATAGCTTTAGAAGTGGGAGATAGAATTTCCATGATTCATAAACTTTCATGCCACCAATAAGTACCAATGAATAAGTTGAAACTATACGTATAAGAACAAACAAAGGAAGTCCAAAAGCACAAAAACAGGGGCAGCTGAAACATCTTTTGTAAGTTTGTTATCTATGACCAGTCAGTGAACGACACTTCTAGACAAGCACCAGATTCTAAGAGATAGGGCATTTGGAAGATATTAGCTACAGAAGGTAAGCGAAGTTACATACATGTGCTACTAATTTGCAAATAATTAAGTGAAGTGAATTCTTGTGAAACTAATGGGAACTTTCTGCTCATCTACCTACCAAGAACAAACCCTGAAACTCTAAAAAGAAAATAAAAAATAAAAAATCTTGATTAGTGAAGATTTTTTATCAAATTATTGCTCACCGTAACAAATACGTAGAAAAACAATGGGATTCCACAAAATTTAAAAGAAAGATATTTCCACCTGAACTAACTTTCTTGCCTCATTATCAACATCTCCACAAAAGAAGGTTGTTGATGTATCACCATGATACCCCTGTAAAATACAAACCCATCAAATGGATAAAGATACTAAAGCGTGAACTTGGAAAGTCGTTGAAGATGCATTCGATCTATGCATTGTCAAACAGGTAAAAAGATGTAATTATCCTGATAAAAGAATGACAATCATGCAAACAATTCCAGCAAGAAAGTATCAGAAGTTTGGAACCCAGCCTATAAAGGAGCAAGAGACTGGTTGCAAGAGGCATTCAGATAATCTACCAATATAAGCATAATTTATATAATATAAAACAAACTAAAACAAGTTGAGCTGTGCCAGCCATTTAATATAGATAGCAACGTCAAAACCTCAACTCCAATTATGTCTATCTCATGTCAGTTTATTCAAATTATGCATGCTTAAAATATATCACTCACATTTAAATAGACCGTAACATCAATATTAACTATATCACCATCCTGCCAAAAACCAAAAGATGTCAGTTTGATCTGAAAGTATTGATTATTTAGAAGCATACAATTTTGTAGCAAAGAACTTATATTAAAGGACCTCAAGTGCTCGGGAATCTGGTATTCCATGGCAAATACATTCATTCACTGATGTGCATACGCTCTTTGGAAACCCACCATAGCCAAGTGGTGAAGGGTAGGCCCCGTTATCAATTATCATTTGGTGAACAGCTTGGTCAATTTCATCTGTCTTTGTGCCTGGCTGCCAACAGAAGCAACAACTAAAGATTTCATACAGAGCAAGACACCCACCTCTCCAACATCATGCAATCAAAGTCACAAATTCATCCCCGATCACTTGTCAGTCAAGAATGAAAATTAACAAATAGATATTGAACAATCTTAAATGCATCATGCAAGTACCCAAGTAGCTTAATAACTGTAGAAGTTAATTGCAATGATCAAAAGAAAAACGAAAAGACCAGTTCAGAAAATATTATAGAGATTAAACATGCAACGCCTAGTTTTTACCAAATCCAAATCTACAATCTTAAGAGAGCAGCAAATTGAAGAAAAACATTTTCCTTCTTTTCTTTTAGAGGGGAGCTGGGGTTTTGGGAAATAAGCATGCTGAATCTGCACTACTAGAATGCAGCCTACTTTTTGGCACAGCCTTGGATTTTCTGGTAAAAGCCACAAGGTAAAAACAACGACCTCAAATTATTTTATTGAGCAAGTGCAAGTATAGATGATTAACAAGCCAGAAGCAGAATTCACCTTGACCAAAGTTCCAGCATATTCAAGAACCTGTGCTGCTAGCCTTCCAGAGGCTCTCATGCATTCTATCCCTTTCTCATCATGCACTTCAGGTCCACTCGCAATTCCAGGCGATTTTTTAGATTTGACATAAGGAGGCCTTGGTATATGATCTGGAACAGGGCGCTGAGGTGAAATTTTTCCAGGTCTTAGACGTTTGCGCTTGTTTACCACTGTATCTACATTTCTAATTTCAACAAAATAGCTGTCACTTTAGAGTTACAAAAATGTGCCTGCATATGTATGTTCTCTTAAAATAAACTATGAAATTGAAAATCTTAGGGTTCATAATTCCAATCCAGAAACCTCATTCATCAAATAAAAACTCAAAAATAGTGCCATGAGGAGGTCAGAAACTAGATCAAGCAAGCTAAAAGCTAATGCATGATACTACAATATTAGATGTACTCATTTGAACTTCTAAAGGCAACACTTGTACAACATGGGAGCCAATTGGCATCATTCATTTTGTATTTGTAAGAAGCTTAACAATAAAAGTGCATGAAGAAACGTATGTCTACTTTGTGTGTGCTTGTGTCTATATAATAAATGTGAGCGCACAGAATGTTTCATGCCATACCTTCCATTGAACAAGAGGTTTGTCAAGCCAGAAAATTTTCTGGGTAACTGCATTGAAACATGCTTGCTTCCTGCGTGTGAGAAATAGAAACAAAAAAAAACAGTGATCATCACAACAAATTACAACATCTGTGTTTCGCATAACATTTCATGCGAATATAAATAACTTGCAATGATATGTATGCATCATTGACATCTAAGCTGATTTAATAAACATGAGAAAATAACCAAAATAAGATTAAATAAAACACTTGCACATAACAATTGAAACAGAAGCTACTCTTACCATTCTCTCACTCTTACACAGTGGCTTCTGACCTTGTGCACTCTCTTACGCTCACAGCCTCACTCACACACGTGTCCCCTTACATTGTGCATTTTAGGCTCATTTTCTCTTTTTCTCTGGGATGGGCCTTGCTTCATTCATCAAATGCTTGCTAGCACACAAATTAAATTTGCAAAACCCTGACTAATTAATAAGTTGTACAAAATGAAGATTAGGCGACATGGGCTTCCAAAATTGGATCAAGCCCAACTTTTAAACCCAAAGCACCAATATGTCAATTCATTAGATTTTTCATTTCTCTAGTTACCACATTCAAACCAACTATTTCCTGATGTTTTAAGTGATCCTTGCGCTTCCATTTGCTTTCTCACCCGCACAGCATCTTCCCATCTTCCAGCTCTTGTATATATATTAGACAGGGTGACATAGTGGCCAGAATTTTCCGGTTCCAACAGGACTAACTGTTCGGCAGCAAGCTTTGCAACATTAACATTTTGATGGGCTCGGCAGGCAGCTAGCAGAGCTCCCCAAATACACTTATCAGGCTCCAAAGGCATCCTATGAATAAAATTAACTGCATCTTCAAGTTGACCATCACGTGCTAGCATGTCAACAACACATGCATAATGTTCCATGGTGGGGATGACGCTATACTTCTTCGTCATACTGTAGAAGACTTGAAGACCCTCATCCACAAGACCTGAGTGACAACAAGCCGACAAAACAGAAGTAAAAGTTACAGAATTTGGGCAAATTCCTGAATGATTCATCTCTTGCAGAAGCTCAAGAGCAGCTCTGCCATCCCCATGCATTCCAAAGCCTCCAATCATTGAGTTCCATGTTACTAGATCCCTATTGACCATGTTAGAAAATACAGAGTATGCAGATTCAATGCATCCACATATGGCATACATATGGATCAATGCATTCCATACCGGAGCAACCAAATCAAAACTATTTTTCCTAACAAAGGCATGAATTTGTTTTCCAAATTTCAAATTGCATGTCGGCAAGACAGTAGATATTGTCGTTTGGTCAACTTTGACCTGTTCTCTTTGCATTTTTCTAAAACATTCAAGTGCCAAATCCTCCAGTCCTAAATCAATAAAACCAAGAATCATGGCATTCCAAGAAACAACATCAGCTGGGTTCATCAATCTAAATACATTTGTAGCATCCTGAATTCTACTACAGTTGGCATATAATATCAACAATGCAGGGCCAGCTGAGCTGTAAAATGCAATGCCAGATCCTATTTTTATCCCATAACCGTGGATTTCTTTCCCATTAAGCAAAGATCCCAGATGCCGACAAGACACGAGGACAGCAGAAAGTGAGTCCAAATCGGGGTACACCCTGCTGCCATCCATCATATCCCTGAAAATCTTCAAAGATGACTCATGATTCCCAATCCTTGAAAATCCTGAAATCAAGGTGGTCCATGAAATGATATTAGGTTCCTTAATCTGATCAAAGATTCTCTTCGCCTCGTCACAGTGCCCTAGTCGGCAGTAAGCATCCATTACCGTATTCAAAGTAACAACATCAGGTTCACAAACATCCAAATGCATACAATCAAATAGTTCTACAGCCAACCCAAGCATCCCATTGCACACATATCCAGAGATCATAAAATTCCATGACAATAAATCTCTTTCCACCATCTCATCAAAAACCTGTTTAGCACTCCTAACATCTTTGCATTTGGAATACATATCAATCAATGAATTGCAAACTTGCACATTAAGCTCAAACCCACGTATGATCACATCTTTGTGAACCAGAAAACCCACTTTTACGCTTGAGAGCTGTGAACATGCCTTTAAGACCTTCGGAAACACGTACCCGTCAGGCAAAACACCTTTCAAAATCATTTCACCATACGCTCTCACACATTCTTCATACATTCCATGCCTCGAATAGAATCCAAGGATCGCAGTCCAAGCAAAGACGTTTGGGTTTAACAATTTGTCAAACAACTTCCATGCAGACACCAAATCATCACAATCCGCATACATTTGAACTAATTTGGTGACTAGGAAGGGGTTTTTATTTAACCCATATTCGATTATCATTTGATGGGCTTGTTTTCCTTTATTTAAAGACTTTGAATTGCTGCAAAGTTGAAGGTAAAGATTGAGTTGAGAAGGAGAGGGGGATTTGCTATTGATAGTGGACAAGATTGACATTGCTCGCTTAGAACGCCATACACTGATCTCTGGTGGTAGTTTAGTGCAGTAAAGGTCAGAGCCAACTGGGACAGAGAAAATAGAACTTTGTGGGAATTCCGACTTGGCTAAATGGGAATTTAGCACACTAAAGCTTAGTGCATATTTAGTGCGTGCTTGAACAAGAGGCTGGCCAAGCCACAAAATTTTGTGTGATAAGTGCATCGACACACACCTCTTATGTGTGAGAATTACAAACATGAAAAATAACAATGACAATCACAAAATTCACATGCTCTTAGACTGCAGAGAACTACAAACACAAAAAACAAAGAACATCACAAAATTCACATGCTTTATGCTTTAACATCTCCCTACCAAAAAAGAGAAGACAAAGAAAGATTAGGTATCAAGTTGAATCATTTGATACCAAAGATCCCAATTTTGATTCTCTTTTTTATTTCAACTCACATCATCAGATACAAAACTGCATTACAGTAATCAGATACGGATTACAACAGTTCATATAGCCATAAAAGCAGTCCCAAAAAAGACCCAATAACCTAAGCTCACTGCAAACCACAATACCTCGATTTTGCAAGCTAAACGTTCACTTTTTTTATACAAATACAATCACTATATGACTCAAACAATCTTATCCAACAAACCCAAAGGAACAGACTCGATTGAAACAGAAGCTGAATCGGAAATGTTTGAACTTTTAGCTTAAAAATTCAAAAGCAAGAAAAGAAGAAAAGGGAAGAAGTAAGGACCTGGATGTAAGCCGAAGAGTTGGTGGAGAGGGTGCGCCGACTGAAGCAAGCTGTTGCCCACAAACGAGGAGAGGATTGTGGGTTGAACAGCACGCATTGCGCTCGCGCCTGTCACCATTTTTTTACAGCGTTCGCGGCTTCTGGTTCTGCTTCTGCTTCTGGCTTTCGCTGCTTTCTCTCTCTCCGTTTTATCCGCTACTTCTCTCCTCTTCTTTTGATCTGGAACGGGCCAAGCAAACGAGGTATTGGGTTGAATCTTTCTAAATGAAAAGTTATTGGGCTTTGCGTATTGAGATTAAATCCCAATTGAAACTTTGGACCTAAAGTTTCTCCACGTAAGTAAGGGCTCGTTTGGTGCATGAGATTAGATTGAAATGAATAACCTTTTAATGTCCGAGCATGTTGATGGGAGAAATGAAAAATTATGACCCACTAGAGGGTAAAAGATGGATTGCTTATGAAGAAAACTTATTTATTCCAATCATCTCCAAAATAGTAGAATTTAGAAGTGATGAGTTTTCTTCTTGTCTAATACTCTTCTAATCCCCTGTAAATCACACCCTTCTAACTTCAATTTTCCTTAAAATTGGAGAATTATCTATTGTAATCTAATCTACTTGCCAAACAATGCCTAATAATATTATACGTTTTGGGTTTAGGTTAGGTTGTCGTGAACTTGTCACCTCTAATAATAGATACATGCATAATGGGTGGAGGATTGTGTTTAGAATGTCTACAAGCACTTTTATATGAACAATAATTCTCACAACGTTTCCCAAAAAAAGGATAAAGTGTAAAATTTGGATCTTGACTAAAAATTTTGACATCCTGTTAATAAAATCATTTCCAGCAAAGGCGCATAAAGCATCTTGAACAAGCACTACTTGTCTGTATTTGACTATTTTAGCATGAAAAACACTCATAAACAATTTTGGCTAGTTAGTTGTAAAATGTTACTCCAGCAAAACTAACTATTTCCACTAACCTTGGATCTTTTATTATTTGATCACTTGTACCGTAAATAAAATGTGTCATATCTCGACCCACAAAGTTTCTCAAATTTTATATTGTATCCATAACTGTGCACAGCGTTGCTTTACCTCGTCATGAAATATGTGATATTTGAGCCACAAACTTAGTATAATTAGACTATTTGAGATACTCTTACAAATAAAAGTGCTTCTTATAAAAGCATATGTTATGAAGATGACTTGGTTCTTTAAGAGTGATGACAATCACACTTTAAATTTCCAAAAGATGAATACTTTGTCGTTTACAAACTGCCACCAGCAAGTGAGTTTGGTGGAGTGTAATCAAACTTATATGTACACCTCTTATTTGTGTAAGTCTATCAGACATAACCCCAAAAATACGATTAGGTATATTCCAAAGAATCACTTCAAATCAATGGCTCAACATCAACATGTGACTCAACTTCTTCTTCTTCTTCTTCTTCTAGTTTGGGTAAGAGCTTCCTCTGCTTTATTGCTAGTGTACAAATAGGTCAAATCGACCTGAACCCAACTCAAATCAAACCACGGTTTAAGATCACATTTTTTTTCAATAAAAAAGCAGAACCAAAGCACTCGAATTAGTATAATTAATAGATAAAATGTATGCCGAATTCATATGTTTTAACTGCATAACTAAAAAAGTTCATGTTCATATCATCTATATGCATATAACATGTCATAAAACCCAAAGATGTAAATGGAAGGTCTCATGTCCGAGTTTTATCGATGTTGAGTTTGATACCTAATTATATAACTACATGATTTAGTGCAAATCTCTTTCTTTCCATATCACCGAACAAGCTATTTAGTACTATGGTCTAATGGTATTCATCTTCACTTGTAAGTAAGAGGTTTTAGGTGAGATTCTTGACAAATGCGAAGTTGAACTATATTATTATGGCAATCTCATTGCAAAGCTTAGACCATTCTCTCATTTCTTTAATGTAGATATTATGTAATGGACACATTGGAGGTAAAATAGTTCAAGTGGAAGTGAAAATGGGCCCTCTTTAGTACCACGTAGGCCTCTGACGTACGTCACAGAAAATCTTGACGGTCCTCCAGCTTAAAATTCCGCCCAAAGCCCATACCCCGACGATATGTCCTTTCCAACTCCCTATCGGTCCTCTAAAACGACAAGTTTTGGAATCCGATGCTGCTGCCGCAAGCTAGTGCGGAGAAAGGAAGGACGGATCGATACTGTTGCCTGCGTCGGTAGTCAATCTGACAGTGGTCCCAGCCAATGTCGTGGGGCCCACCTTCTCAGAGAGACACGAAGAGGAGAAGAACAAGAAGAAGAAGAAGAACCAACGGCTAAACGACGTGTCGG